TAATAATGAAGGCTAAAGCTAAAGCCCTATGACAAATTGCCAGAGACTTTGTTTATTTGAAATATATTGAATGATGTCTGATGTGTGTGCAAGAATTGTGGCAGCATTTGCATGCCATCAGGCAATATTTATACTGGCTTGTCAAATCTCATTGAAATTAGTAAAACTATAGTAGATGATTTATTTTCTTCTTGCATACAACTGGCAGGATTGGAAATTGATTAGACGCAGAAATTTGTCAGTCTGTAGATGCTTTTTAAGATAACTGTGCAATGTGAGATGATATTAGACGTCTTTGAAATTTTACAGAGCTTTGATACTGTTTGGTATAATGTGAGAAAGTGTTGTTAAGATTTTTAGATATTGTGTGATAATTGTGAGAATGTCAGGTTGTTTTGAACTAATTTGTAGGTCTTATATACAGCGCAATACAAGGAACTGTTAGTAGATTTTAGATTGTGTTACATGTGAACATATTTTATTACCTTTAACTATGTTCTTTTTAATATGATCAAGTTATATTGAATCTTTGTGTGCAGCACAAGAACTTTGATCTATGTATACATGAACTGCTCTGTAAAATATAAGAATTATTTCACCATCTTTAACTATGGTTTAGCAAAATTTATACTTGGTGTAATAATTTAGCAATTGTCACACCAGCTTTGTGGTGTTATAGATCCTAGAACCATAGTGTTTTAAGTCCTGGAATCATAGTGTTATAGGTACAGGAATCATAGTGTATATAATGTATCCAGGAATCATAGTGTTATATGTACCGAAATCATATTTTTATAGATGCTAGAATCATAGTGTTATAGATGCTAGAATCATAGTGTTATATATACAGGAATCATAGTGTATAGATGCAGGAATAATTGTGTTATAGATCCTGGAATCATAGTGTTATAGGTACAGGAATCATAGTGTATATAATGGATCCTGTAATCATAGTGTTATAGATACTGGAATCATAGTGTTATAGGTACACGGATCATAGTGTTATAGGTACACAAATCATAGTGTATATAATGGATCCTGGAATCATAGTGTTATAGATGCAGGAATCATAGTGTTGTAGAGTCATTTCATTAAGTTTTTGGTAAACAATTTTTTTGCACTCTATTGTGAAAATCTGGAAGTCTTTTGTAACAGTCTTTGTGCCTACAAACTCATTTATGGAGCAAGGAAATACTTAATGAAACACTTGATTCCAGTGACAGCAAATCTTATTTGTGTGTCTGTATTTGCCTCAGTCTACTGGAGTCTTAAATATTACATTATGGTGTGTGCCTGTCTAAGTTAATACGCTCCCATTGTCAACAAATATTCTGCTTTCCCTTGTCAAGTGTCTCTGTTTTTTGTTGGATTTTATTTGTGGTGTCAACATTTTGTAAAGTTTTATAATGTCTGGCCAGGTCACTGGCTCAATAAACTGGTTCAATGGTATTCACAGATTTTGTTCAAATCCAGTAAGGGACATTTGATCCTGCAAGTTTAAGTTGTTCATTGGTTGTTCAGCTACATTTAGGTCCCTCCTCAATAATCAAAACATGCACATCATGGGTTTTTATGGTTGGTAATATGTTTTAAGTTAATTTTGCTTTGAAAGAATTGAGTACCTGTATTTCTTTTGATATGTAATCATTAAATGATGATTTAGTATTTAAGACAATATGTTCAGTAAGTTTACACATCAAAAATGTATTTGGAATCATCAGTTGATTTGTATCCCTTAAGCTTTTATAATGTTTTTGTTTTTGGACATTACCAAAACAAAAGATTTTAATGTTTCTCTCGGTAACACAATTTTAAAAACCTTCTTCATGGGAATATGAAATTCAAACAAAAAATCGTACATGTACAATAAATAATGCCCATCTGTACAACACAAATTAACCAATCATAAATGATCTCTCTTATCACTTTATGTGCTTTGTGTCTCTATTGAACTTGCTAATGTATATCTCAATAAACTTTAATTGATTCTACGAAAATTGATACGTTCTCTATGATCATCGGTAATTGACAAAGTTGTCGTGGCAATGTAATCAGGTTTTGGAATCTGTGAGATTGCAATGGGTCTCTTTAATACACCATAATTTGATATTATTTAGATAGTAAAAAGTCTGTCTAACATGTAAATGTAACATCATAATATCATGGTTATTGATTGGATTCTTCGCTGACCTTGAATGATGTTAAAAGGTGACGCGGCTCAGCTAAATTTGCAGACATGAGGGTGTTTTATATGATACAACTATTCTAAAGTTTCTGGGTCTGGTAGGTGTTTTATTTTCTCCGGGATAAACACAGGGTTATAATATCCGAGATTGCACCTTAATTATGCGTTGACATTATGTTTATTTGATATCTGTTGAGAGATTTTAGAGAGTGATTGCAGATTTCGCACCTGAAGCGCTGACATTGTCTATATTTGATATATATATAGAGAAATTTATTGACCATTTCACAGACAGAATGAAGAGGTGCTAAGAATATCCTGTGTACCATATTTATTTCAAATTAATACCTTGAAGACAAAGTCTAATAGGCTTAATTTCGACCACTTGGATATAATTATATTATGATCCAAATAGATAAGATTTGTGGTCCTGTGTAGTCCTTACTTCAAGTTAAAGGTCACAATGCTTAGAGAAATTGCTTATAGTCTGTAGATAAAACTTATATTTTTACTTTTTATATGTTACAGGGAAAATATGTAGCCTGATATGTATCTATCAAAATCTTGACCAACAGAAACCAATTCCGCATCATTGCCAATCGTGCAACACAGAAACTTCATATTAATAATACAGAAGACTGCTCTTGGTTCTGAAGAAAAATGGTCTTAATAAGGGGATGGTCTTAACAGGGATCTTAATGCATGCAGCATTGTCAATTGGTTAGAAGAAAGAAGTAGTATAATGTAATAGTGGTGTGATCTCAATTTTGGATAGAAAGACCATTAAAGCAAGAAGAAGAAAATGTCTGTTCTTTGAAAAAATTGGTCATAATAGTAGATTGTGTTGATTGGTTGTGAAAATGGGGTGGTTGTAAGGTTTCTCATGTAGTTTCGTTAAAATATTTATATATAAATAGAAAGGTCTTTGTTACTATTTATAGATTAGTTTTTACCATTATCCGACTGGCAGCACCAGATTCTATATATCATTGCGTAACTGGTGCTGACCAAGATCAGTTAACACATCAGTGCATGTCTGATCATGATCTGCACTGTTTGATATTCATTCGACAGTCAGTACCTATTTTGATATTTTCCATAAAAGTGATGCATGGTTTTTGTCTAGATTTGAAAGATGGACAAGTCAATTAAAGATAATTTAGGTGGTAAGCTGAGCAGTTTCATGTGGTTAATTTATATTGTTGCATTAATCCATCAAGAACAAAGTTTGTTGTCTCTGTGAATTGAGTGATTTATTTGTGCTTGTTCAAAAGTCTAACACCGAACATGTAAATTTATTATATTCTCAGAGGAATCAACTTTGAAGTTTTAAAAGCTATAATCATTGTTTCTTTGTCTTTTGGAAGTAAGAGAGAAACCTATTTAGAATGAATGAGATATAGGAAAAAAAAAACATTTGACTTGGTTGTTGATGATGGGACAGACTGTGACTGAACAAATTAATGTATCACCATCTTAATGTAATAAAGTGCAATAACCTTTTAAAAGTAATTAAAATATTGTGAAGTGAACAAGAATATGTTACTTACATACCACAAAAATTATCAAAAAGCAGTCAACATAATTATGCAAAAAAGCCTTCAAAATCAGTCATTCTTGGCACATAACATGTAAATTATCACTTGAATCTTGAATTTTTTTAACTTTTCTTAAAACTTTAATTAATTTTTCTAAAGTTTGGTTTTCTTAATGTAATTTTGGCTCATCTGGAGGCATGAAGCTTCAACCTATTACTATGGTGATAAATTGTATATTGGCCTGACTCTAGCTCATGGTCAAGGTTGCTGATATCAAGTCATTCATCCCCTTTACCACTTTCAGTTCAAATTCACAAGGAATGTTGAATTCATAGGAAAGTTGACAGAATGTTGGTGATTGACTGAAGCTTAGGTTTATGTCTTATGAAACATGACAGAAGCTAGCCAGCCAGCTTGCAGTACATCGGTGGTATGTGTCTGAAAAAATGCATTATGGGACTGGCACCTGAGACCTTCTTGTACCAGTAAAGCTAGAAAGTGACCATAATTTTAACCTTTACAGTGTTGATGCACATAAGACCAAATTAAAAAAAGGTATTATAAAAAAAAAGTTTTTAGGTTCAGGCCAGCATACATTTCCTTGCTGCTGTACCTGAAATTCTTATCTTCTTATCTGGTGGCTTAGCTAAATTAAGGAGAGCATGGTATTCATAACCCAGCGGTTGCTGGTTTGATCCTTGGGGAGAAATATCTTTGATCTTAGACAAAATAAATTGGTAATTGCTGGTTCAGTATATAGTCACCCAGAAAAGTCTAATAAAAGCCTAAGTCTACATATTCATTCAGCATTTTCAGTGGGTTACAGTTTTAAAGAAATAAACTAAAAATAAAAACTAAGAAAAAAATAAAAAGGCAAAGAATGTTTTTTCCTGTAATCATTTGCTTGTAGCAATTGTTTAACACTGTCCCCCACTATTTAGCCATTTGATTAATGATTGAGGAGAAGTTATCAGTTCATAGTGGAGAAATAGGAGAGTACCAGGTTCTTATTTCAAGAACATTTCCAGCCAGACTGTTTAACTGAAATCCAGTAACAACTTGCACAAAAGAAATGAGAAAAAACTGCATAAAATATGATCTTGAAATTATTAAAATAGAGCTGTAAATGGACTGCCAACAGGTATTTGTAGGGACCGCTCTATTATTGCGGAATTGTCTGTGGTATTGACAGTTTTGTCCGATGTGATTTTATTTGTGGGAAATTAATCAATGTTGTAAATATTGGTCTTTTTTTTACTGAGTGTCCTGAAAGTGTAGTATTAACTAGATAACAAGTCTCCAAAAGTTCCAATAACCGGAGTGTAGTGATAAATGACAGTTCGGTGTTAATTCTCAGATTCATATTTATAAGAATTGCAGCTTGTTTACCATTCTTTTTTGCCCCCCTTTTTCCTCTGCATTTCTCTGTATTGGTTTATATTAAATAGTGTGACAGCTCTAGAGTTTTCTGAGGAATAGTGTGGAATTAAAGGAGATATTTCTTACATTTAAAAGGGGTAAGTTTTTTCTCTCTCTCTTCTTCTGCAGATAGTGTAGACAGTAAATATGTCAAGCGCTTGGTTTCTCGTTTGTGGCTTTTATTTGTCCTTTACAAACATTTGTACATTAATGTTGTACAAATGTTAAGAGATATTATATGTTGTCATGGAAAAAGTCTTTGTGTGCTTTTGTACTAGCTCAGACTTGTAAATTATTTGAAATTCTTTAAATAGCCTGATACCTAGAGTAAGTAATTAAATGACAGTTCTGGAATTTAAGTTGGAAATTCTTACACATTTTGTGATAGTTACAGTTTTAGGCTTTTCTCAGATGATCCAAACATTTTATGGTAGTTACAGTTTTAGGCTTTTCACAGATTTTATTGGATGAGATACATGCATGGTTTTCTGATTGTTGACACTGAATGATTTTATGGGAATTTTTTTAGGATTTAATAGTATCTGAGAGAAGAATGAAAAACTAAATAGTTTAATGTAAATATATTTAAACCCTTTAAATGCTTGCTGAGCTAGGTAAAAGACCAGTTTGCCACTAGTGTAAATTCAAGTAAGGAAGATACTTTGTCTTGCCCGAATATTGAACTAGCCACTCAAGGTTTTCATATAGGGAAAGCATCAAATTTGTAAACCAAGGGTAAATGGTGCGATCCCTTGCACCAGGAAAAATATCTCTGTGAAAATAGATCTAATGGATGTCGAGTCAAATAATAATTTGTTTAGAAATCATGTGGAATTATTTGTCGGTCATTTGCAGAGATATTGTTAATTTCTGGTTTAAGTTATGCATGAAATCTGGTTAAATGGACTGGCTGCTGAGATATGGCGAAAATGTGTAAAATCGTCATAAAAAAACAACATAAAATCAAGGTCAACTTGCATATTAGTCCTGCCTGTACAGACATTATTTAAAGCAGCTCATTTTCATGATTTTATTATATTTAAAATCCTATTCCTTTCAGAAAAAGCAATTTCAAATTCAAAAGCCATACAAGTCCATTATACTCATTATACTTGAAATACAAAAGGTTTACATTTTATCATATGGGAATCATACGCTGCTTTTTATGGAATGGCACTGACATGTCACATTGAAGGTTCCATGATAACTCGTGTATAAACACATTTGTGGATGTTTCAAAATTCAAGATTTCTCCATTACCATGATCAAATGTTGAATTCTTCTTAAGTTGGTCCTAGGGCGTGTGGATGGTAACAGCTTGCACTTTCCAGTACCGTCCATGAACAGGCTTAATCAAACTGAGCCTGCAACATTTCCAATTTTGTCATTTTGAGCGTTCTTTAGAGATTCCGTTTTTCTCTATTTTAGTGTTAATGGAAACTGCATAAAATATAAGAAATTTTCATAAAGGAGTCTGACTATAAAAGACCCAGTAATGTAGAAAAGGCTGTAAAAATGGTGATTTTTTTATGAAGAAACTTTTCTGAAGTGTTTTTTATGATGCTAACAGTAAGATGTAGTAGTAATAACGGCACTGACAGAAGACTATGACAGTGATGATAATAATGATGTAGAAGTTTGAAATCCTCTAGGTAGATTATTGCCATAAAACTGAAATTTATCAATATCTTCTTCCTTTATATGATGTATTACATGTTCTAAGTAATGTTTATAATATTTAGATAACATCCGTTTCTGCTATGTCAGAAGTTATGTTGAAATTTTGCCTAAATATGATAAAATAGTTATGTCCAGACAAGTCAATAAAAGAATTGAGCCGTGTCATGACAAAACCAACATAGTGGGTTTGCGACCAGCATGGATCCAGACCAGCCTGTGCATCCGTGCAGTCTGATCAGGATCCATGCTGTTCGCTTATCAACCCTTTTACAAGTAGTGAAACTGATAGGGAACAGCATGGATCCTGATCAGACTGCGCGGATGCGCAGGCTGGTCTGGATCCATGCTGGTCGCAAACCCACTATGTTGGTTTTGTCATGACACGGCTCAATTATTTAGTATGTTGGGTGTTAATTAAAATGCAGTCAAATTGTAATAAACAGCTGGTATTTAAAACTTGATCAAAGATCTAATATACCAAACTTGTCCAAAACTTGTCTTAGATAGCAGGTAGAATACAGTCAAACCTGTCTTTACAGCCAGTGTCACATGTAGAATACTATCAAACCTGTCTTAAACAGCCAGTGTCACATGTAGAATACTGTCAAACCTGTCTTTTACAGCCAGTGTCACATATAGAATACTATCAAACCTGTCTTAAACAGCCAGTGTCACATGTAGAATACTGTCAAACCTGTCTTTTACAGCCAGTATCACAGGTAGAATACTCTCAAACCTGTCTTTTACAGCCAGTATCACAGGTAGAATACAGCCAAACCTGTCTTTTACAGCCAGAATTGAAATTTGAAAATAATTTTCTTATTGATGATTGTGAATGGTTACTTTCAAAGCATTTTTTTATATAGGAAAAAAGAATATTGAAATAATTTTTATATTAACAGATTTTTTCTGTACTGCGGTGTTTATTTAGTGGTGATTTTCACAATAGGTTGATATAAGCTGTTTGAATATCATTATGACATTTGTAATATAGGTAAACCTGAATGATCTCATATATTGTCATTATATATCAAATTAAAGCAGAAACATTTGCTATGAAATGTTGATTTTTTTAAATTTGTGCCCACAAAATGACTTGAATAAATAAAACCACAAATTAATATTAGTTTTTGACATAAATTTTTCTTTTAAATATTTCATTGATAAGTTTTTGGGTAGAAGAAATGAAATTTATTAATTATATGAAGAAATTGAATTGGTCAAGGTCATTAAATCAAGGTTAGTGGGTCAAGGCTAAGTTATTGTGTACTAATATAATGTTAAGTTGTGTAATGAATACTGGACATTTATTTTCATCTGTGTACGTAGCTTATTTGGCTTAAGTATCTCTTGTTTTCTGTTGTAGACACATTGGTTTCTACAAATAATGAGTTTGTCTCTAACAAATGCAAGAGAAGTTCTTGTTTATTTTGTTGTCTACATTTATTTGATAAAAAATTGATACAATAGATGTTATCTGGATCTCCACAAATGAGCTGCGTCATGACAAACCAACATAGTGGGTTTGCGACCAGCATGGATCCAGACCAGCCTGCGCCTCTGCACAGTCTGATCAGGATCCATGCTGTAGCTATCAGTTTCTTTACTTGTAATAGGGTTGGTAAGCATATAGCATGGATCCTGATCAGACTGCGTGGATGCGCAGGCTGGTCTGGATCCATGCTGGTCGCAAACGCATTCGTTGGTTTTGTCCTGACGCAGCTCAAATTTATCTTTGGGTTCAAAGTTTCAAACAAACTTTTACTGTGATAGCTTCAAAGTGCACTAAAGTTAACAGTCACAGTACAATACAATGGTTTACAATAGCACAGTGCTCTATGGTTGACTATAGAAAGATCAACGCTCACTATGAACATTATATTTATTAAAGTTAAACTATAAAGGTTTGTTTGCACCACAGAATTAGATGGGGAAAACCCACATTTGCCAAGTTCTCGTATACCTTTATTGTAAACTGCTAATTTGTCATGATGGATATCAATATCTTAGGTGTGCTTGTTTTATATAATTGAGAATTTGAAAAGTCTTTTTAAGACCTTCAGAAGGTTAACCACAGTAGGCCACATCTTAATATTGGTTGCAAAGGGAACTCATACTCAAAGTTCCTGCAAAAAAGATAAAGAAAAGAGAAAAACAGCGATGCAGTATTGAATTTTATAATGCATCATAAGTTTATGGCCGTCTGCTGAGCCATTAAATATTGGCAGACTCTGTTTATTAATATTTTACAGCTTTTTAAAGGTTTTCATGCAGTTTTGGATATTATTTTCGATGAGTAAAACAGCAGTTAATTATATTATATAAATAAGATACTATTTATATCTAAATTTTGACCTTGTTTTATTATTCCTGATGGTGAGAAAAATGCTTGTAATTCTTATTTATTTTTAGATAATTTTTAATGTGATCATTTTGTTTCCAATTTTTTACAAAAATGTCAAGAAAAATAACATTTTACCTTAAAATAAAAACATGCATGCCATTATCATAGTTCTTTAAGATTGCACTTATTACAATTTTATTTCCTTTTTGAATCTTTATTTGTAGAACAAAAACTTCCAAGAAAATCTTTACTTCCTCATGGAAAACTGAAATTTGACCTATATATTTTATTTCGGGCATTAACACTGTTGTTGCTGTTTTAGAATCTTGGTCTGGCAGTTTATCAAAGCTTCTAGGTGATTCGGATGACATACAGTTTGATCATGTTCAATAACGTGAATATTTCTGGTGTCATATCTATACATTATTCACAGAGACAAGGAGAAGGAAGTTATTTCAATATCGGTTTATGTTTTCTATGACACTCTGGGGACTCTTCCCTGTTACCACAAAGGTAGCAAGTTTCTTGTGAAAAGTACAGCGAAAAGTAATCGACTTTCATATAAAAATCTCTATATTTAAACATTTATGTCGCTTAAGTAAATCATCATTAAATGATATGGATCACTATCATAATTGAACACATCTTCAGGTGTTACAGAATCATACCCTATGCAAACTATTTTTAATGATGAACTTTGCTTGACAGGTTCTTTGGTGACATTTGGACAATATCTTGCATTTACCATTGCTGTCCGGAACAGGCTTTTACCACTGCTGTCCGGAACAGGCTTTTACCACTGCTGTCCGGAACAGGCTTTTACCACTGCTGTTTATAAATTGGCTTTTACCACTGTTGTCCATTAACATGATTTTTATCACTGTTGTCCATGAACAGGCTTTTACGACTGTTGTCCATCAACATGGCTTTTACAAATGTTGTCCATGAACAGGCTTTTTACCACTGCCATCCATAAACAGGATTTTTAATGCTGCCAAACATGAACAGGCTTTAACGCTGTTGTCTACAAACAGGCTTTTACCACTGTCGTCCATAAACAGGCTTTTTACCATG